GTAAGTTTTTCTTTAGAGAGTCTAAGGTTGCTGTAGAAATGTAAGAATTGGAAGCATGTGCAGCCCAAATTCTTAAATGGCCATTGCTAATTCTTTTTATTAGTGTCATTTAATGAATTTTACATTGCTTTTTTTGTTTTCCTGACGCCTCTTAGCTTTCTTTAAAGAGTCTAAGGTTGCTTTAGAAATGTAAGAATTGGAAGCATGTGCAGCCCCGGCTCTTACATGCAGCTCCATTGCTAATTCTTTTTATTAGTGTCATTTAATGAATTTTACATTGCTTTTTTTTTTTGGTTTTCCTGACGCCTCTTAGCTTTTATCAAGTTTGAAAGTATGGCATGGACTTAAAAAAAAAATTGTGTTTTATTTAAACATCTTATCCTATGACGTGTAGGTTCTTCAGGTTGAGTCATTGATATCAAAGATTTGGACTTCTGGCCTGGATATCTTTCAACTGTTGAAGGTATCCCCGCAGCATCTTCCTGATGAATTGGGTTCAGCATCTCTTGAGGTAGCAAATGTGTTTATTTCTTACCTGTTCCATTCTGTTTCAGATGGAGCATAACACTAAGTTTCTTCAATTCATTTCTTATTAAAGTACATTAGTTAGATGAGAAGCCATCCACAACAACAACAACAACAAAGCCTTTTCCCACTAAGTGGGGTCGGCTATATGAATCCTAGAACGCCATTGCGCTCGGTTTTGTGTCATGTCCTCCGTTAGATCCAAGTACTCTTAAGTCTTTTCTTATGATCTCTTCCAAAGTTTTCCTAGGTCTTCCTCTACCCCTTCGGCCCTGAACCTCTGTCCCGTAGTCACATCTTTGAACCGGAACGTCAGTAGGCCTTCTTTGCACATGTCCAAACCACCGTAACCGAGTTTCTCTCCTCTTTCCTTCAATTTCGGCTACTCCTACTTTAGATGAGAAGCCATCCGTTGGTAAAATTATTAATGATCTTTCGAATGTGGAGGAAGTAATTTCTAGCGTTTTAGTGAACTTCTGGTATGGGAAAAGTTTTAGATGAGTCCTTTTATGACGTTTGAGACTCACCATGTTTATTTTGCAGCACTGCATACAAAAACTTAAGCACATGGGATATGAACAAATGTCAACTGTCATTAAAGATGCTGTAAACGATCAAGTGGAGGGTGTTGGACCGAGCTCAGAGATCCTAGTGAAAATTGCAGAGGGCCTTAGCTTGAGGTCCAACCAGGAGATTCTTATTGAGGCTGTAGCACTTGAAAAGTTGAAGGAAAATGCTGAACAATCTGAAAAGATTGAGGAAGCAGAGTATATTGAGCATCTGATTTCCCTTGTTACCCGTATGCACGAGCGCCTTATTATGATAAAGCAATCCGAGAGCTGCAGCCCCGTTCCAATACCTGCTGATTTCTGCTGCCCCCTCTCTCTGGAGCTGATGACGGATCCAGTGATCGTGGCATCAGGTCAAACCTACGAGAGGACTTTCATCAAGAACTGGATCGGTCTTGGCCTCACTGTTTGTCCAAAGACACGGCAGACTTTGGCTCACGCCAATTTGATACCTAATTACACTGTGAAGGCACTAATTGCAAATTGGTGTGAGTCAAACAATGTGAAACTGCCTGATCCCACTAAGGCAGCACACCTTCGGGCAAGCAGAGCCTGGTGCACCAAAGGATTCATCTATTTTTCCTCATTCCAGGGTCAGTCAATCGATGTCACCTGAGTCAACTCGGTCTACTGGTTCGCCCTCGAAGAACTTGTTCTCATCTGGTCCACTGTATCAGGAGAGAAGTTCTCCATTGCATCCTCGTTCTACATCAGAAGGTTCCTTGCCTGGTATAGTTGGAACTAGGCAGGATTTGGATATTGAAAGAATATCACTAGCAAATTCTGAAGACAGGTCTGCCAACTTAGAAGAAAGGAGTATAGATCTAGATAGCCAACACTCTATGTCACCATCTCGAGATGAACTTCCTAATTCTATTGAAGTTGAGCAGTCATCTCAAAGCCATAATAGAACCGCGTCAGCTTCCAGCGTACTTTCCAATGCCAATTGTAGCCAAGGAACTCCAGTCAATGGCAATGGGGCCTTACAGGTATCGACCAGTCTGTCAGGCTACAGCAGTGATGCTTCTGGGGAGTTGAAATCAGAACCGCAAGCTGTCGCTACCTTGCCCCCCCAACAGAGACAAACTGAGTCGCCAACCAGAATAGTAGAGGCAAGACCTCGAAACCAAATGTGGCGCCGACCATCTAGCTTAATCCCAAGGATAGTTTCTTCTCCACCTATTGAAACAAGACCTGACCTTTCTGAACTTGAAGCCCAAGTTCGTAACCTGGTTGAGGACTTGAAAAGCACTTCACTTGATACACAAAGAGAGGCAACATTTCAATTCCGGTTACTTGCCAAGCATAATATGGATAATCGGATTGTTATTGCAAGTTGTGGGGCCATTGGCCTGTTGGTGGATTTGCTCCACTCTGCAGATACAAGAGTTCAGGAGAATGCTGTCACAGCACTTCTTAACTTATCGATCAATGATAACAACAAAACTGCAATTGCTACTGCGAATGCAATTGAACCTCTGATTCATGTCCTTGAGACGGGGAGTGCAGAGGCCAAGGAGAACTCAGCTGCCACTCTCTTCAGCCTTTCGGTGATCGAGGACAACAAGGTTCGCATTGGAAGGTCAGGGGCTATCAGGCCTTTGGTTGATTTATTGGGGAATGGGAGTCCGAGAGGGAGGAAAGATGCAGCCACAGCTTTGTTTAATTTGTCAATTTTTCATGAGAACAAGGGTCGAATTGTTCAAGCTGGTGCTGTTAAGTACCTAGTGGAGTTGATGGACCCAGCGGCTGGAATGGTTGACAAGGCAGTTGCTGTTTTGGCTAATCTTTCAACAATTCCCGAGGGGAGGACAGCAATTGGTCAGGAGGGTGGGATCCCTGTTCTTGTCGAGGTTGTTGAGTTGGGTTCTGCAAGAGGGAAGGAAAATGCAGCTGCTGCTCTATTACAGCTCTGCACAAACAGTAATCGATATTGCAGTCAGGTTCTCCAAGAAGGAGCTGTCCCACCATTAGTAGTATTGTCACAATCTGGCACCCCAAGGGCCAAAGAAAAGGTACCCGTGCTTCTTGTAATGTTTGCTTCTCTCACCCCCAGTTTATTTAATTTTACGAATGATGTATTCAATATGGTGTTTCTGATTTTGTTGCAGGCGCAGACGCTCCTTAGCTTCTTCAGAAACCATAGACAGGGTAATGCTGGTAGAGGATAATCAAAATTGTTTGCTGTCAGCCGAGGTTTTGGTTCAGCTTCTATAGATGATGTGTAAATTGGTTGGTGCAAATACCGCGGTTAAAGGATTCATTGTGTGGATTTTAATGTGATTTGTAAAGAAGACGGAAAAACAAACGTTTGATCGAAGATTTGTATGAGTCTGATTTGTAAAATACTTAACTCTCTGAATGTTGGAAGAAACATTCATGCCTCTAACTCTGGTGGTTGGACTGCTTAGGCAAGATGATGATGACAAACGTGTAATTTGAAATTGTTGATGTTATGCCTCCATTTGTCTTTCCTGGCAGCATACACATTGGTATATTACCTTGCGTGGTTTTAGTGATAGTTTCTGGGTGTTTGCGGAGTATTTTGTGCGGCGGTTTTATTTATTTATTCATTTATTCATTTATTTCATCAACGGGAGTGCGAAAATTAGAACTTGGGACATCTTTCAACATTATGAGGTGAAAATCGAGGACCGGTGGAAATCACGTCTACTCCGTGCAAGAACAATCAACTTATTAATCGAAGTTTCCGATCCAACTTGCCCTAGTCAACCTGCCCGGGTAGCATGGGTCCCCGAAGTAGGGGTAGTGCTCCACCCCACTAGCATTGACGTAGGTCGAGTCAAAGTCTTCAAAGCCTTTAGGAAAACCAAACGACACGGGTACAAGTAATTACGTTCATCACAATTTCACAGTTCAAACTTTGAACTTTCTAAACGCGTTTGGTGTCTAATGTTGTCTCCTTCTTGAAGTCGACATTGGTGTATAAAAACTGAGACCAACCAGATTGGCGGAGGCAACGAGAATGAGGAGGCGTCGAGCATCCGTTAGCCCTGTTCCCTCTCCTGCCGGCGAAACAATAGTAGACAATTCCGGATTGATTGAAGCCCGTGTTCGTGATCTTGTTGATGACTTGAATGGCACTTCTTCTGTTGAATCTCAAAGAGCTGCAACGTTTGAACTCCGTTTACTCGCCAGGAATGGCATGGAAAATCGGGTTGTTATTGCAAACTGTGGAGCCATTGGCTTCTTGGTGGACTTGCTTCAATCTGCAGACAACGGGGTTCAGGAAAATGCTGTCACAGCACTTCTTAACTTGTCCATCTATGGTGCCAACAAAACCGCAATAGCTAATACTGCCAATGCAATTGAACATCTGGTTCATGTCCTCGAGACAGGCAGTGCCGAGGCCAAGGAGAACTCCGCGGCCACTCTCTATAGCCTTTCGGTGCACGAGGAGGACAAAAGTGTTCGGATTGGAAGGTCCGGTGCTATTCGGCTTTTAGTTGATTTACTGAGGAGTGGGACTCTTAGAGGGAGGAACGATGCAGCCTCGGCCTTGTTTAGCTTGTCGAATTTTCGTGAAAACAAGCCCCGGATTGTTGAAGCGGGTGCTGTAAAGTACCTGGTGGAGTTGATGAACCCGGCAGCTGGAATGGTTGACAAGACAGTTGCTATTCTGGCTAATCTTTCTACGATTCCTGAGGGGCGTACTGCGATTGGCCAAGAAGGCGGGATCCCTGGTCTGGTTGAAGTTCTCGAGTTGGGTTCTGCAAGAGGAAAGGAAAATGCAGTTGCGGCTCTTTTACAACTCTGCACAGATACTAACAGATATTGCAATACGTTGATTCGACAAGGAGCTCTTCCACCTTTAGTGGCACTCAACCAATCTGGCACCCCAAGGGCCATACAAAAGGTATGATTCTGCTGGATTAAATATTCGAGTAACGGTAACGATTTTCTCTATCCTCGTTTAGTCATTTGCACTCCAAACTGAATATTTTACACATTTGTTTGCACTCACAAGAGCATAGGGTTTACCAAAGTTTCGGTTTCCTTGCAGGCAAAGTTACTCCTCAGTCTCTTGGCTTCTTACATGAAAATGCAGGGAAAAAAATAACAGCAGTGAGTCTAGTAACTATTTGCTGTAAAATTACAGCGTTGCCTTTACTACAAACTGTGGTGACTCGAGATGGGTAGCATGGGCCAGAATCCCTCCCTCTACCGGCATTGGTCGGTTCACAATTCCATCATTGCTTTCAAAAGAACAGATGGAACTATGTCTGTATATTCTTCAAGAATCAACAGCTACGAGACTCGGATGTAACAAGGAAATCTCAGCTTCCCGTTGTATGACGTATCTGTTGTATATGAGAACAACCATGAAGTATGCTCTTGGAATTGTCAAAACCATCAGCTGGGGCATACTGATTCCTGTCGGGGCTATCGTGGCTATGGTGGCTAGGCATCTCAAAAATATCAAAGGGGCTGACCCGACATGGTTCAATGTTCAGAGGATTCCAAATGCTGGGCCTTGTTGGCGGGGTAGCCGGGCGGGGAACTGGTATCTATCTCGGTGCCATGTCTCCAAGGGATTGAATATAAAGGCCATAGATGCATAGGGATAACACTGTTTGTTCTTGCTTGTATTCAATTGGCGGTAGCTTTTTCTTTGAGGCCAAAGAAGACAGATAAGAGAAGGGGGTCTTCTGGATTTGTTTCACTATGCAGTAGGATACGCCACAATCATCATGAGTGTCATCAACATAATGAAAGGATTCAACATCTCAGAGCTGCCTAAGGAGTGGAAAACTGCGTACGTTGCCCTTATCATTGCTCCGGGAGGCACTGAAGTAGTCTTGGAGCTACTTAAGTTATGGCGCTTCATTTCGAGGAGAAATCAAGCTGCAGAACAATAAATTAACAAAAGTGATGTAATACTAATAGTTTAAACTATAAGCATGTATTTTTTTAATTTCTTTTTTATAAACTTTGTAATTTCAATTTCAATTGAACATTTGTTTCTATTACAGCGGATTTACTTTTCCATCGCCAGATTTCTTTTCAATAACTAACAAATTAAGCTGAACAATTGCAGAAGTATACATGCAAAATAAACTTGTACTCAAATTTTGGTTTGGTGTAAATCATCCGATGACAGATACGTTTATAGATATGCTCACAGAAAATATGTGTGCTTGTATATATTCTATCCATGCATATGACATACCACAGAAATATAAATCAACCTCCGAGACAGCAGGAAGGGTGAAAACATTGGCCAGACGAATACTCTTCTGAGTAGCAACTTGATCTAAGTAAATTGACCTGCGTAAATTCCAATACAATTTTAGCCATCCCCTTTAAAACCTTCAAACAACACAAATGATGATGGCACATTAGCATTACCTTTATAATCTCCCACTTAGAGCTTGGACGTGTCGAGGTTGCTAATATACTCATGTGAAAATGCTATTTTCCCCAAAGTGAACACAATTAAAAAAAAAAAAAAAAGTAGCAATTTTGCATCAGTAGATTTCTTGTAACAGAGAAGATCCTAAACCCTTAAGAAGAAAATCGTGCACAGCTAAGGATGACACTATCAAAGAACTAACGATGCGTCATATTTGCTGCACAACTTACCCTGAAAGGATCACCCCGTAAGGACTGCACAAATATTGAATTTCCTGACTCTGTATCCTGCAAAAGAGCAGTGGTGAGCATAAGTAGAAGCTTTGCAAATGAAAATACAAATGTCATCCAAAAGTTTACCTCCAAATGGACATCCCTCAGTCGCTTTCCAGTTTGAGCGCAGCAAATGCGAACTATATTCTCATCACAACTCCCGCTGATAATATAGTCCCTTCCATTCATGTAATATGAACGAGTATAATTATGAGAACTTCCTGTGGCAGCTATTTCAAAATTCATGTGAACCCTCCCATCTGCCGCCAAAAGTTGCTTAACCTGGAAAGTGACAACCCCATAAAAGTTAGCCTCTGGACTTCAAATTCGACAAAACACCACAATTCAGTAGGATAAGTGGAAAACGAAAGCCTGAGTTGCAATTTTGACCATGGGATAGCAAATGACTTCCTACCTCAGAATTTGTACGGGTAAAAGTTTGACCAAGTAGGATTGTATTTATTTTTTTCTACAAAAACAGATTGAAGTGCATTTTATTGGTATGGTTATACCTCATTGTCAACAGCTGAAACAAGCAAATAAAGGTCGTCGGGAGAAAAGCAAACCATCACGTTTCCTCTTGAGCTTGAAGCTGTATAGCAAGGCCGCATTGGATTCTGTCTCAAATCCCACATCTTCACATCATGGTCAAATGATGAAGTAGCAAACACATAAGGGGAATGGTGGGAAAATTTGGAAACATTGATTGGTTCTTGGTGAATATTAGTGAACAACTGTAAACGCTTTCCACTTGCTAGGTCATATAGAGCAAGACCTTTAGAGTAACTACTAGCAAGAAGCTGGTCATCAGTTGAATTTACATGAAGAGAAGTCAACTGCTCGAAATCGTCAAAAGTTGCAGCACTGGAGCTGCAGAAGGAGCCTGAAACTTCTCGTGACATGTAATTGATGTCAAACAACTTCAAGGAACCATTATCTGAACCAGCAACAAGCTACTTGTTCAACACAAAAGGGATAAAAAGGGTAAGAAAATGCTACATTCACTAGGGGAGTAGAACCGCTTTTGCATTTAGTACATGTGCATTTGTATGTTAATTAATCCATTAAAGAAATCATATACCTTTGATGGATTTTTGTTGAGCCAACAAAGCCCCAAGACACTGCTCATTGCTCTTCCTACGGATGGGATATAACCAACTATTTTCTCGTTTTCATGGTTGAGAACAACTACTTCACCATCCAGGCTTCCGAAAACCATAAGACTGGGGTTTGATGGATGATACTCAAACTGCCTTGGACGAAGCTTCTTGTTTTCGGTTTTAAATGAGTGGCTAAACTTAGACAGCGGATGTAAGAGTGGCCACATTGAAGACCCGATTTTGGCAGCGCAAAGGGACCTCAAGAAAAAATTCTGGCCATTTCTATAAGGATGCAGCTGTTTTGGCTTGAATGGTCTTTGGTAGTGTATAACATTTGTTCCCATTTCACGCTTATGCAAAACACTAACAACACTTTCTTTGTGATGTCTCTTGTAAGGTAAGTATTCATAGTATTTTTCTGCAGTTGTCATGGCCAATTCCCTTTCGGTCTTTCCGATAGGAAGATTATCCAAAACTTCCAAACCAGGGAGCATTGAAATCATGTACTCCCGGTAATATTTCTCAAAGCATATGGGCGAGCGACAATGAGTTATATACTTTAATGTGATAGCGGGATTCTTCAGGTCTAGCTTACACACACTTACAAGGAACTCATCTTTTTCTTGAACCTGCAATTCGACAAAAGACCTATTAAAATAAACTAATAAATCCATCACCAACACAGAAATTTCATACTTTTGAATAATTAAGTGCATCAGTTGTAATCATGCTGTGTTCTTACCTCACTCTGTAAGTTGTGTTGTCCTTGTAAATTAGAACATGCCCCAGTGTCCTTGCAGCACAAACAACTTTGGAACCGTAATTCCACCAAAGACGGAAGTTTTGATAGAGCACCAGTTGTTGCCATGAGATTAGCAATTGTTGTCTCGCACATTGAGAGACGCATCAAATTAGGCATGCCAGAAAAACAGTCCTTCTGCAAACTAGCAAGTGAAGTACAAAAGTCCAGACGGAGCGTATGCAGCTGCAAAAAGCTTCCAACCATGTTGAGTTTCTGGATATTAATAGACCTCAAGTTGAAGACTTGGCAAGCCAAGCAACCTTGTAAGAGATCCCTGGGGAGAATTCAAATCAATGGAACAAGTCAGAAACTTTCACACGTAAATTATTTCACAGATACGCAATGATTGGTTACAAAAGTTAAGTTACTTCCTAAATCAACATTCTTGACCAAGATATGCTTTCAAAATTCACCAAAAAAGGAAACATAAGTGAACTTTCCATTTTTATACTTCACAATAATGAATGTGAAAAATAGCCAAAAAATAAATTGTTCTCAAGAATGTGCATTGGAATTGCTTACAGACCACAGAAAATCATTCCCCAATGCCAAATCCTGGAGATCGATGACTCGAAGCTTTAGATTGACTGCATTTATCAAGGTCTTAACATTTTCTTTGCCCAAGTCACTATTGGATTCCAGAAATATGTCAACGGCATCAATGTCAGCCGAGTCACTTGACATAAGTAGGTTGGTTAGAGGCAAAATATCGGCATCCCTTAGCTGGTCTAACGAAATCACTATGCTACACTTTTCGTTGTTCGAACTCTGAATTTTGGCCTGAAAAATATCATAAGAATCATTGATATTAATATCTCGAAAAAGAAATTTGTTTTTACACTCAATTTCATATGATCAAAAGCATAACAGGTCAAAGTGAGAGCACATTCAAAATTTCAGAAGACCTGAGAAAACCATGATAGAATTGCTGAATTGGGTTGCACCTCGTGTTTTTGGCAAGAGTCAAGGTACCTAGTGAGACCGTAGAACAAAGGGAGTTAAATAAAAATGTTTATTAAACTAATAAAATCCGTACTAAATAAATACATTACTAACAAAAAACATGCATCAAGCCACTAAACCAATGAAAGCTTCCACGTAAACCAGTTTCGTGTAAGCTAATTGAGGGCCCGTTTGGTAACCATTTTGTTCATTCCTCCCTCCTCCCTCTCAGGCCCCCAGTACCCTTCATCCACCTTTCTCTTTCCCCGGGTTCCCCCATAACTATCCAAGACAAAATAAAAGACTTAGAAACTAAAAACGAAACAGTTATCAAACGAACCCTAAAACAACCGTATTTCCATATCTTTTGCATTAAGATAACACTGAATGATTCAATTTGGTTGAAGGCAATGCAACCTAGCTATACCAGCGGAAAAATAAAAAGAGAAAATCTTTGTTCTAAATTCGTAAAAATAAGCATCTGGGTATCAACCAAAAAAGCCTCACTCTCTCTGTAAACACAGAAACACAGATATCTGAGGGTCTGCCAATTATAATTGGTAAAGAAAAAAAAAAACAGGGTTTTTATCTCAGCATGCAGTTGGTCTTTCCTACTGCTAACAGAATAAAAAAATGCAAAAAAGCAGTAGCAGAAGGGATACCGAGCTTTTAAGCTGGAAACATTCATGGCTCCTTTCTTCTTCTTCTACTTCTTCTGGTTTTTCTGAGCGAAATGCAATGGTGAGAAGTGAAGTGCGAATGAAGAAATTAAAGGGAAACTTCAACCGAAGTACAAAAAGTATGGTGGGTTGAGTAAGTGTGAAACATGTGCCAAGGGGGACTGTGTACGGAATAATTGAGGTTGGCCCTTCAGAATTCAGAACCACATGTCGCGTTAATGAAACGAGATAAGCACAAGTGTTCACGTCAATTCCTATCTGTCCAATACAAGATGGTCCAATATTAAAAAGTACATATGTCGTGGTCGTGGCAAAGTAATCTTCACCTTTACTTATAGGGTAAAATTTATATTTTACCATCTTAAGTTTCAAATTTATTGTAACCTCATACAATATCTTCAAAATATTTCACTTTCATACCTTAAATACTATTTTATTTCAATATAATACATTCGTTACATTTTTCATTCATTGATTCGTTAAGATTTGACGTGGCTGACATATTATGCGCCACGTGGCTGCCAAATTTGTGTCACGTGACAAATTTTTTTTTATACATTAAAAATATTATAAGAATTATAAAAATTGAAAACCCATAAACCCAGTCCCCCCCCCCCTCCGTGACCACCTCTCTCTCCTCCACTCTCTTCACCTTCCCTCCCATCCAAAAACCCACCCCACCCAACCTCCCCCGCAACCCCCCACCCCCAAAAACCCATTTCCCATAAACCCCTTTGCTCAGTCACCTTTTCCCCCTCATCTCTCTCTCATCCCAAGTGTTTCACTCTACTCTGCCAACCAACTAAAACCCTAAATCAATAGCAGAACATAAATGCTCTCTTAATCAAACCACACAAACACTCATAGAGAGGGAAATGCAAGACATTTTTGGATTAGTTCACCGATCATTGGTGTTCCGCATAACATGAGACAATGAAGATTCCCTAGGAGGAACCCTAATCAATAAGATCAATTCCTGCATTCGGAAATCTAGAGTCTTCTCCAAGCCCTTGCCGCCGCTTCCATTGCCGGCAATGGCAAAGGAAAATGCACCTCCGATCTAGTGATGGAAGGGTGAGTTGATCGGCTGCGGTGGGAAATGGGTTTGTTGGGAGAAATGAATGAGCGAAGGCGTTGCAAGGGAGGTAGGGGTGGGGTGGGATGGGGTGGGTTTTTGGATGGGAGGGGAGGTGAATAGAGTGGAGGAGAGGGAGGTGGTCGGGGGAGAGGGGAATGGGTTTTTGGGTTTTCAGTTTTTATTTTTTATTTTTTAATAGGTTAAATTCTTGTAATATTTTTAATGTATAAAAAATTATTTTTTTGAAATAAATAGTACTTAAGGGAAATGATAAGTTTTGAAGAATGTTGTATGAGATAGACCTCAAACTTGAGGTGGTAAAGTGTAATTTACCCTTACTTATATGATTTGAAGATTGGTTAATCCATAGCGAGCATTTTCTTCTTTAACTTAGCTCATGTTTTTTTTCTAACCTAAGCATTTTGTATTTTGTATTGGATTTGTTTCACCCATACTGTCCTTTCTCATGTGAAGGACGGCCTGATTCAACTAACATACCTGTCCATTTTCGCGCGCCCGCGAGCCCCCACCGACATCGCTCGGTCGCTGCACAGATACTTAACTCCCTTTGGACGCTACGTCGAACGAATCCGACTCCCATGTCACCCTCAGTGGGTTTTGCTGTTTCTGCGATCGAACCCTCACATCCGGAGAAACTTACCTCAGTGTGGTTCACTCCCCATCTCTTTAGGATTGTGCTCTTCGGCCTCCCTGTAGACACCGGCAGAACCTTGCTTTAACTTCGCGAGAGGTTCCCCGGCGCATCGATACATACTTCTTGAGAGCGTCTCATTTGAGCTCCCCATCTAGGCACTCGTTTCGCTATGTAGACCGTTGAGAATCTTATCATATAATAGCGTATGATATAGGAATATTGCCACCCACTTCCTCTATCGGCTGACCGCCGCTTGTGGCTCTACAATCCACCCCCCTCAGTGGGCCCGACAGTCCTCAGTGCTGGCCACTTCCTGGCCCAGTGTAGCTCGTCGATACACAATCACTTTGTCACACATCCGCTCCGTACCCCCGTGAGCCACCCTAAATTCACGATCCCCCCTGGCTCTCAACATTCATGTCCGTTAGACGCATTTATTGGTCTGCTTTGGGAGCCCCGACCCACGCTCCTTACAGATGTTTTATTTTCAGGAATACTTCACACATGAGAAAATCACTTCTCAGTGAGTGTCATCCCATCCTGGCGGTATTCACTCTTCTCACGAACAATCGTTAACCTTCTGATTTTTTGTGTATGAAACTGTTGAAGCCGAGTGACCACAAATACGGAGCCTTGTCTGCTACTGGTACTGAGATGGGGAACCTATAACCTAATGAATGAGCGAGCGCTTACAGGATTCCGACACCCCCCTAGGCGAGTGTGGGAGTATGCAGTATTCAGTCTGTACATATGAATATTGTGACTCGCTACTCTACGGTTAAATGCACTGCTAACGTTACACATTGCAATACAATAAATCCCTCGTAATCGACTATGACCAATAATCACCTCTCTAATCAAATATCTGTTCCTTGCCTTAAATCTTTTCCCCTTCTCAAGCATTCTCGTGGATATCCTCAACAACGCCATACTTTGGAACGATGCGATCAGCAGATCGGAAAAGACAGAGTGCACCATATGTTCTTTTGTGATAATATCTTATAAGTAAATACGCTGCGCAGAAACTATAGCTACCCAAGTAGTTAAACAACATTGATTAATCGGCAACCTGAAGTCGAAGGTATCCGGGTTGATTAGAGTCTTTTGTGCAAACAATGGAGAGTTATTATCGTGCGCACAAGCATCTTGGACACCAATTATGGTTTCAAGTCTGGGCGATTCTTCAGAAGTTTTCCATTCTTGGATTATGTTGATGATCGTCGTCCTATTCTCCCAGTTTCTCTTTTCCTGTGTGTCAACCTTATCTCTTATAGGTTTCCTTCCCTTCTCATCTACTTCAATCCGTAATCGACACACCCTCGTCTACTAGCCGAAGTACCCGATGAGTCTCACTAGAATCCAGCCAGCTTGGACGACTATGTTACCAGGTCTCACCTCGCCTGCCTCAACATTACCCTACTTCTCAGATGACGACTACACCAAGTGAGCACTGAAGTATCGCTGCAACTCGCACCTAGTTTCGCCGTCCCTCCGCCTCTCTAGTCCTCGCACTGCTCGAGTTCGCATGATCGTTTTGAGGCCAGGCAATGTGTTGCAAATGGAAAACTATGTCCATCACGAGTGTCAAGGTATCACTCCACTAATAGATGCCATCTTTCCGCATAGATGTGTTTTCTGGGTCATCGACTGTTACTTCATTCCGCGCAGGATATCTGTTATATTCATACTTTTCTTGCAAACTCCTTAAGTCAGGTCTTGGCCCTTGGACCTCATAATCACGAACGTCTAGTAGAGCGGAATCTTGTGGGTGCGCCTTGCTCCTTCCATCATCGACCCCTTGATTTTTTCTTAACCATATCTAGCCGTGAGTACAGTCTAGATGGACGACCCTAGCGTCCGCAATGAACGATTTTTTTTGTATACTCTTGGCAAAACGTCTTTCCGTGTTGTTTGCCCTAAAAGATCTAGCGCAGCTTATAATGCATTCACTAGCTCCCGCACTCAGTTGTGTGCCGCCATGCCACGCTTAAGATTTCGATAGCTCTCACAGCTTCCTTCGCTGCTCAAGCTATAGACATCATCGTGTGTCATTGTCAAGATCATTGAATGCCGCCTCTCTACTTCGTATCACATACACAATCGCGTCCACTGTAGTGAGCTGTCTCCAGAGACAAGGCTGATTCTCAATTTTCTGCCGGATTGTGAAAGGATGGGACATACTTGATTTGTCACAAATACATTTAGTCATGACAGTGTGGCATAATGTGATTGTAGAGCTTTTACTCGACTCGATCATGGACTTGCCCAAGTTTAGAATTGGTCGCAGCTGTGTGATCACCTAGAAGATGCATGATCGACCATGGCTAAAGATGCGAGGTATGAGATTTCTCGGTTATATAGTCGTCATGTAAAATGATTTTTAGAAGATGGCATCTTGGAAGTTAACACTCCACGACACGTCTTTCTGGTTGCTGATCACCTAACAAAGAATTGAGTTTTTCATCCTTTGAGTATCTAGTCAGTTTCGAGAAAAGTTTGGTAGAACATTATGTTGCTACCTCTATTCCGATGATATATACTAGTTTTGGCTGCATGATTCTTCCTGACACCTGCTATGATACAAGTTTTTTTCCCGGTCCACAAAGTATTGCGTGCATTACCGGCGTGGTCTAGAGATCCTACCCACATGTTAGCTCTGCTAGCTTTGTAACAGGCTCTTATTCGCTACTCATTGGACTAGGAGTTAGATCCTTTGTTTTGTATTTTCTATTTTTATCTATTGTTATTTCTATTTTAAATTGTGGTGAAAAACATATATTGGCATTTGATAGTGGGAACTATTGAAAGGAATCCGAGGTGTGTAGAACAAAGCTGCTGTATTCCACGTTAGAGCACTCTTGGATCTCCTACTTCAAAAATTGTCCCAAAGCATGCATCTTACATTCCGTTCATTATGATCGCTCTGCATCTACATTGCTGTGCGTACGGCTCTCCATTCTGGCAGTTGTTGCTGTATTCCAGGATAAACATAAGAACTTTCCTACAGCTTACTACGTAAAAGTAGGAACATTTTTTGCCAGATATACCTCAATGTTGATCATTTTCTGTGAATCTGAGATCGCACGACACAAAGAATATTACGGAGGATCTCCACAGGTTGACGAATCACATCTTTTTTCTTTGCATAATTACCGATGTTCATCAGATTGTTACACCTCCATCCCCATTGTTCTCTTGCCAATACCTATTCATTCTTTTAGAAGCATACTCTTGCTTTAAATCCTAGCAAAATACTGAGTAGGTTTTCCCCTTCATTTTTTAGTCCAAGAACGAGACATCTTAACTTTTATAACAACATTACATTGCGACTTGAGTCATACAAAAGATGTCTTCTCCATTGTTCGGTTTCGCTACATTCTTGAGCTTGGTGATTAGC